CCTTGGGACGCATCGTCTTTGTATTACTCTTGTTCGAAAGCGAATTCAAAACACTACTTAGAGTGTTCTTTTTGAGCTTGTATCTTGAAAACCTCATCTTTTATTATGGTATTTCCATTCCTGATCTGATTGTGAACTAATTCCCGAACATCAGCGTGTGACAGGCGCGAGTAAAAACCCGATATTTTGAAAAATTAAAAATAAATATTTCTACTGGCCGTATTCAAAAGAAATTTTCTACACGAAAGCGTTTGAATACAAGGAGTATTTTACTTCTTTGACTGGTGGCGAATTCCGAAGAGTTCAAGAAATATTCAAGTTTTTCTCGATACGAAATACAGAATGTTTGGCCAAGTGGTGAGTAAAATATACGATTGTTTGCTTTGTGTATTAAATGTTAAAAAATATTACTTTTGACCATCCACAAACATGCAAGCACTAGTCAATGAGGTCAATCAATCATGCATTAAATAATGATTTAATTTTCAAAAAGACGTTTCTTGTTTAGCTTAAAAATCACCTTTTGTTTCGATGTTTACACTTTGTCCCACTTTGCGATGCAAATCGTGCAGAGGCTTCGCGCCTTCCTTCGCCTTTCCCTTCGCCTTTCCCTTTGCCGCCTGCGCTCCTTCCCCCAGCGGCTACGCTCGTGTTCCAAGATCCGCCAGCAGCTGGGAAATTTGTTGCGCATGCGCCAGATTTGAGATTTCCATTGAAACTTGAAGATTTCCCCGAAGAAATAACGAGATGTTCGTGGTTGGGCATGTACTAAAAGGCGAAACGTCGAAACGAAACGACCGAAACGAAACGGCCGAAACCACCGAAACGACCGAAACGAAACGACCGAAACGAAACAACCGAAACGAAACGAAACGACCGAAACGAAACGAAACGGCCGAAACGAAACGGCCGAAAATATAAAACACAGGAAAATTGAAAAATGCGGATACGGACGGACGGACGGACGGAGGGGACAGGCGGATGTACGGGGGAGACAGGCGGATGGACGGGGGAAGAGGCGGATGGACGGGTGGGGGACAGGTGGATGGACGGGGGAAGAGGCGGATGGACGGGGGGGACAGGCGGGTCGACGGGGGGGGGACGGCTTCATTTGACACGAAACTGATATTTAAAATCAAATCCGCGTTTTGTTGAAAGGGATATATTAGGATATATTATAAAAGACTATTATTAATCGTAATAAATTGTCCGCGAAAAGTTGATAAAATACATGTGGAAATCGGGGTTTTTCGAACCTTCGTAACGCTTGATATAAGGATAAAACGCGGATATGCTACAACTTTCATGCTTAATATTCTCAGTCATCTGGGTATGTAGTAGTCTAATTTTATGCAATGTAATGTGCTATTTTTTCAAGCGCTTTTCAATGCAGTTATCAGTTTAAATATACCTAAAATTCCCGTTAAGAGATATGACAATTGCCGCACGGCCTACTTTTACGCAAACGAAAATTTAATTCAGCTACAATTGACCATTTGTGTAATAGACTAAATTTTGATCTAAACAAGTCTAGACAAAAATTTCATCACAGCTTGAAAGAGCATCACAAAATTAGTAATATTCCAAAGTTTTGCTGCGACATGTTGTAAAATGTGGAAAATATAGCCTTGCGAAGTTTGCAATTTTCAGTCATTTTAGATTACAAACGGGAAATTGACAGCCTCAAAGGGTTTGGGGCTGTCAATTTCCTATTTGTAATCTAAAATGACTGAAAATTGCAAATTTTGCAAGGCTATATTTCCGCATTTTACAACATTTCGCAACGAAACTTTGGAATATTACTAATGGTCAATTTGCAAAAATTTCATGCTTAATTTTCTCTGTTATCTGGGTATGTAGTAATCTAATTTTATGCAATGTAATGTGCTGTTTTTTCAAGGACTTTTCAATGCAGTTATCGGTTTAAATATAACTCAAATTCCCGCTAAGATATGACAATTGCCGTACGGCCTACTTTTACGCGAACGCAAATTACAACTGCAAATTTCGTGCTTAATTTTCTCTGTTATATTATCTGCGCATGTAGTAATGTAATTTTATGCCAATGTAAGGTGCTATTTTCAAGGGCTTTTCAATGCAGTTATCGGTTTAAATATAACTCAAATTCCCGTTACTGATATGACAATTGCCGTACGGACAACTTTTACGCAAACGCAAATTACAACTGCAAATTTCATCAGCACATTACATTGGCATAAAATTACATTACTACATGCCCGGATAACAGAGAAAATTAAGCATGAAATTTGCAGTTGTAATTTGCGTTTGCGTAAAAGTAGGCCGTACGGCAATTGTCATATCTTAGCGGGAATTTGAGTTATATTTACACCGATAACTGCATTGAAAAGCGCTTAAAAAAATAGCATATTACATTGCATAAAATTAGATTACTACATACCCAGATGACTGAGAAAATTAAGCATGAAATTTGCAGTTGTAATTTGCGTTTGCGTAAAAGTAGGCCGTACGGCAATTGTCATATCTCTTAACGGGAATTTTAGGTATATTTAAACCGATAACTGCATTGAAAAGCGCTTGAAAAATAGCACATTACATTGCATAAAATCAGATTACTACATACCCAGATGACTGAGAATATTAAGCATGAAAGTTGCAACATATCCGCGTTTTATCCTTATATCAAGCGTTACGAAGGTTCGAAAAACCCCGCATTTCCACATGTATTTTATCAACTTTTGGCGGACAATTTATTATGATTAATAATAGTCTTTTATAATATATCCTAATATATCCCTTTGAAGCCGTCAAATGAAGCCGTCCCCCCCCGTCCATCCGTCCTCCCCGTCCATCCATCTGTCGCCCCCCCCCTCCCCCCCCGTCCATCCGCCTCTTCCCCCGTCCATACGCCTCTTCCCCCGTCCATCCGCCTGTTTTCCCCGTCCATCCGCCTGTCCCCCCCGTCCGTCCGTCCGTCCGTATCCGCATTTTTCGATTTTCCTGTAATTTACATTTTCGGCCGTTTCGTTTCGGCCGTTTCGTTTCGGTCGTTTCGTTTCGGTTGTTTCGTTTCGGTTGTTTCGTTTCGGTCGTTTCGGTGGTTTCGGCCGTTTCGTTTCGGTCGTTTCGTTTCGACGTTTCGCCTTTTAGTACATTGGCCTCGGGCTTATAAGAAAGAAACATACGATGTTTGGGAGACGAAGTTGAAGTTCATATATCCACACAAATAACAATTCTAAATTACTCGCAAACCGCGATATACGTCTCTATATCTGCTGTAGAGAAAAGCACGCAAAACTATTTTTCCTTTTGTTGTTAAATAACAAACGTTTCGTCGTTGTAGCATTGATAATATAACAAGGAAAGTTTGCATGTCACAGTCGGGAAAAACCAAAGAAGAGTTACAGATATGAGGTGTGACAGTTCTATATTTCCATTGCCTATATCACTTGAGGGATTTGAAAACAGCACAAAAACTTTGTTGATAAGTTGATAATATAATTCAGTAGATTACGAGATATTGACCCTCAGATTCGCAAAATGTTTCCGTCGTGCTTGGATTTGCTTGGCTGAGAGAGGAGTCCGTGGCGAGAATTGAACCTACGATTTCAGAGGTGAAAAGTGCTTACTCTGACGACTGTGCAACCGAAACTCCTATGGATGCGCAAGGACAAGTGTCGTGGATATCGACAACTTGGATCAAGTGGTATATCCCATACAATTTGGACAAAGCTCCGCATGTTTCGCAGACAGCATTGATTAATTCTACAGTATATATATGTGCACAGTATTTTCGTTGTTTAAAGATCATGTAAAGTCCGTAATGTAAACAAACGCTTTGTTTACATTTTAAACTCACTGCTACAAAGCCTACAGTTGTCAAATGTAAGAACAATTTGTTAGCCTGAGGACAGATAGTAAACTATCCGAAACGTAGCTAAAATAAAAGTATTATCAAAAAACCTCTTGTGTGATCCTTGATTTAAATTAAAAACACAAAATTATTTAATATGAACAGAGGTGAAAGTTTCAGAAAAGCAATCAGTTGTAAAATATGATTAGATATATATTATACTGAATTTTTAACACTCTTCTGGTTCGCCATGCTTGTAAATGAATACAGACTAGATAGTCAATTCAAGAAAGTTCAAAAGATACGAAATATTAATAACATTCCAACGGTCGGGTCCCTACCATTGGAATGTAAGCCTGCGCAGAACGGACTTTATATGGTCTTTAATAAAACACACAACAATGGTTCGCAGTTCTGGTTTGATTTTTGACGCCGCTCACCACCGTAAAAAGACCGCCTAGAGTACACAGCCAGAAATCTCACAGGCCTGTCGCAAGCTGTTGATTTTACCGGCTTGTGGCAAGTTGTCAACAAGTCGCGACAGGTCTGTTGGTTTCGTCAGGCGGTAACAGGCTTGCGGTAACAGGTCTGTCGCAAGCTGTTGACAACAGAGCCGTAGCGACTTGTTGAAACAACCCGCTACAAACCTGTTACTAACAAGAGATAACAGGTCTGATAGAACAATTTGCAGCAAGTCTGTAGAATATATAATCGACCAGAAGTCTCACTGTACACCTTTCCTTAACATTTTCGTGTCCGCGATTTTCGCCTTGCGGATCACGAATTTCGCACGCTAGATGACGTGTGTGACACTTGCTGCGAACATCACGTCAGCGTTCGTCAGCAAAACGGTTAAAACAGCAATCTTTATTACCTGGTAACAGTGAACTCTATATATATATATATATCTGGAACGATAACATTCAGTCATTTGATTGTGAAAACAATGAAGCCTCGATACCAGTCTTTCACGCGGATTGGACGTCAGTCTCAGTCCCTCAAACGTCAGGTTTACGCGGATTGGACGTCAGTTTCATTCCCCCCTCTGCAAACCGTTGCACGGCCAGTATAAATTTGAACGCAATCACGAAAAAAAATTAAAAACATGGCCAACTCAATGCAATACATTGTAGGAGCAAACAGTTTTGCTCCTAAAATTTACTGCATTGAGTTCGCTGTCGGAAAAAAGTCGAGGAAAATTTCCCCGTGTGGAGAAAAGAATCACTTTTTCAAATATATTGTGTCGTACTGTCGTTCTGGATGCACAAGGAAAGAGATATTCTTGCGAGAAAATTTCATTTCACAGGTAGGTAAATTGACTTGCAACTGTGACTTTGCCGTTGCCATTTTTCGCGATTGTTTGAATTGTTTTTTAGTTTACCAGTTTTATAGTTTTTAGTCAATACACTGGTACATTATTTTTTAAAGAATTTATTGTGTGATCGGAATTTGCCTGCCAGCAAAATGTAAATGAATATGTACGTGTGTTTGAATGTAAATTAGACCATATGGTCTTAGTAAAAAATTATTTTAATAACTACGTTTCGGAGTATAACTCCATCTTCAGGTTTATAAAAGTGAATAAAGATAAAAAACTGTGATAAAAACTTTCAAAACAATTACAAATTTCAAAACAATTACAAATTTTATATGTAATAAGATTTAAGAAAGTTCTTGAACAGTTGATGACGAAGACAATGACGAATACTTATGTCGTGATTTTTCTGTCGGCTTCACTTTTCGCTCACTGTTATCGTTCCAGATATATATATATATATAGAGTTCACTGCCTGGTAATGGCAATTGATGGCGTAATTGCTCGCGTTTTATGGCGTGGATTACACTTGCTGGCTCGCGCCTGCGCATAAAAAATCTCGGACATAATTTTGGCTGAGTGAGGCTTCTGGTCTTATTTTCTATTCTGTGTCTGTTACAACCTGTTCCAACAGACCTGTCGCGAGTTGTTTTTGTCAAGTCTGCAGCAAGCTTGTTATCAGACCTGCGACAAACCTGTCCACAACAAACAATTTTTGTCCTGTCACAACAAGTTTCAACAAGCCTGTTGTAGGGAAACAAATCGAAAATGTGAGTAAAGAGATATAAAATCGCACGAAATGGACACTTCCGGCTTCACTTTCTCATTTAATCATTGTCATTGGTGGCAATATTAAATCACATAGGAGAGATTATACCCTGGTTTCAGAGGTAGTATCTATTCTCTGATTATTATAAAATGCAAAAGCCGCTGTTTTATTTTTTTTAAAAAGTTCCGATTTCCAAAATCCAAATTCCAATTTGCTGACGTGTGCTATCGCTATATTTCTTTAATCTGATTGGATAAACGCGTGTGCACACGTCATCATTCCTCGTTGCAATTGGGCGAAATATTACAAACATATCAATCACGTAATCATGTTTAGTTGTTTTTGAATTTTGAGCCAAACAAAATTTCAACAATTGCCTCAAACAAAATCAAACAAGTTCAAAGCTGTTTTGATTTTTGAAGAAACTGTAGCAATGAGAATACAAGATCTAGAGCTTAAGAAATGAACAATACATGAACAACCGAGTGTTCACTGCAACGTTCGTCATTGCTGATATGAACATGAAATTCGTTAGATAATTTCTTTCAAATTTCAAGTGAAATCTGCGAGCGAGGAAGACGCCTTATTGAAGCTTTGTGTTTATGGTATGTACTGTTTTGAAGAAAAATATGCAAGTAGGTTGTCATATTTCGGTCGTACTTCAAGACAAATAATTTTGAAAATTGTTTACGATAAGAACCTTTCTTGAATTTGTCGTATTTTTTCGGCTGTTTTGCTCAAAAATTATCTCGCAAGTTTGTTTATAAAACTTTATATTCATATATAAAAATCATCTCGCAAGTTTGTTTATAAAACTTTATATTCATATATACAAATTATCTCGCAAGTTTGTTTATAACACTTTATATTTCAAACTTCTATTTCACGAAACACTACAACCGAAATATGGCAACCTGTTTGGCCGTTTTTTGTTCAAAATAGTGGATAGACAAGCTTCATAAGGCGCTTTCCTCGGTTTGCAACAGGTCTGTCGCAAGTTGTTGAAAACAGCATTGCTGCAGCTCTGTCACAACAACTTGCAACAGACCTGTTGAAAACAGCATTGCAGCAGCTCTGTCACAACAGCTTGTAACAGACCTGTTGAAAACAGCATTGCAGCAGCTCTGTCACAACAGCTTGTAACAGACCTGTTGACAGGCCGTTGCAGGTCTGTCAGAACAGACAGGTACAAGGCGAGCGAACGCATCCAGATATCGGCTTGTTGACAACAGGATTTAACAGATCTGTTGCAGATCTGTTCCGACTTGCGCGTTTCTAGCTGTGTATAGATGCATGCATCTGATTGGATGACGACCTGATGACGACTCACTTTAAACTTGCCGAGCACGCGCAGTTGATCATTTTTTCGACCGGTTGCCTGAAAAAACGTGGGTACATGATAACGTAATCTTCCGCAGTGTTTACAACGGTCAGTTACGTCTCTGTATGTCTTATCTACTCTGTGACGAAATCACGAACGTTTTTGATATTTAAAAAAAAGGTATGTTTTGTATTAAATTACTCGATTTTAGAAGTCTAGTTGGTTTAGTTTGTATATTTCTGATCCTTAATAAGCTTAATTTGCTTCGGCTTTTCCGTTGCAATTTCTGACTAGGGGCCATTCCAAAAAAAATCCACCCCCCCCCCCCCTATGGACGAGCTCGGTAAAATTTGAGTCCCCAAGAAAAAAAGATCAAAGTGCCGAAGCACACACCCCTCAGAAATTGGTAAATTTTTGCCTTACCACTCAGAAAAACCCCCACTAAGATCAAAGGATGGCCATAATGTGCCAATCAATTTATACTGTTATAATGCACCAGTCAAAGTAAACTCCAACCCCCCACCCCGGGATATAGGTGGGGATTGGCTTTGAATACCGTACCAAAACAGACAAATGCCTCACAATATGGGACAAAATTTTCTAGCAAAAGACAAAAAATGCCCCACCCCCGGAGAAAATTGTAAGTCGTGTGAGCGAATTTATCTCCTGCATAATATCTCCTCAACAATCTCCGGGCCGCCGCATAAATCGTCCACATTTTAAAATATTAATATTTTGTTCCAAAACTCAAAAGAACAATAAAAACATATTAATATAAACAAACAAATGTCGAGCTTTCCACAACAATAGATTCCATGGATGGATGGACATATTAACCGGTATTAACATATAGATTAAAAAGAAATTCAATTAATAATATATTTATAAAATTCCTCTCGATTTCACTTCCTTGCGAGCACGCCATCTTGACCTTTGTCACATGGTATAAAATGGTAGAACCAGCCAGGGGATTCCATTGGACAAAACGGTACAAAATAGTACAAAATGGCCGCAGACAATCCCCTAACAATCCCCATTATCTTCCCGGCGTAATTCGGCAGAATGACAAAACCAACAAATTCCCGACATGATTGGGACAGAATTCCATGACCAAAAGCCACTAAATCCCCACCAAGTCCCCTCTTTGTCCGGAGTGGGGAGGGGGGGGTCGGAGTTTACTTTGACTGGTGCATTACTATTTTATAACTAAATGTTATTTCCTACAAATTTAGCTTTATTGTAGCTTTATTGAAAGTATAAAAAAACATGGAAACGGTGGATTGCTATAGATTGAAAATAATTATTAAACTATGATTGAAATTATCGACGGAGAATGCTATTTCCTTCATTAATTAAATCGTTGTATTAAATTTTAATTTCAATAGTATTAATGATAACTTTGTTTGATATTTTTAATATATTTCATGTTATTTACAAAATGTACTGTAGTTTTGAAGTTTTGCACACAATATATAAATCAGTGTGAGCACAATGCAGATCGACTCCGTTTCAATTTCAACATATTTAGTGATATTTGATAGCGTAGCCTTCACGATATAATATTTAATAAACGGCTGATAAGTAATCATTCATTTCGAGCACAACTGCTCCAAAATCGCAACAAATAACAGAATATAAGGTAAATTAAAACCAGCAAAGCTTTACCTACCTTGATCTATTTTTCTAAGGCGCTCAATTATGTAAATTTTCTGCAAACAATCAAACATTTTTCCTGGCCTTTCCTCGACGAAAACCGTCGTCGGAAAAACTCGGTATTTGTCGTATTTTACGAATTTGCCACGTGGCCGGCGGTACGCTCACCACCGCTCACCGCGACACGAAATTTAGAGCTATATGAAAGTTGCATGTCATATATGGCATGCAACAAAAACTTTGTAAGAGTTGTGACGGAAATTGTCGACTTCACTTCGGAAACTGACGTTGCTATGACTATTAAGCAATATTTATGTCCGCGATTTTTACAAAATCGCAGTTGGCAACGCTGGCAGAAATACTCGATGGAATTTTTCACTTAAAGCAAACGGTAAGTTATTTCAATCGATATATTTGTGTTTATAATTTGCGAATATGTCATTTATAAATAAAAACATTGCTATTCATGTCTGCTCTGGACAACTCTAGTCTCTAGCTTGACTACAGATTTTGAATTGTAATATACCATTGTGCGGGTATTTAATTGAAGAAGCAAGCCCATTGCTGTATCAACTTGCAGGTATAAAATTACAATGGACAATCGCCATTTATATAGACTAACTTAAAACTAGACAAGGAGATGCAAACAAATCACCACAGCTAGAAAGAGCATACTAGAATGAGTAAAATTGCAAAGTTTGGTTGCGAAATGTTGTAAAATGCGGAAAATATAGCCTTGCAAATTTTGTTTACTTTTGCATTCCAATTTCCGCACGCAATACAAAAGTATACAAAATTTGCGAACATCGCAAGACTATATTTTCCGCATTTTACAACATTTGGCAACCAAACTTAGCAATTTTGCTAATAAAAAATCAGTCTATAATGGGAATTGTCTATTATTAAACACCGAAAAGAGGCTGGACTATTTTATATTACTATTGTAGTCACTGACATCGTTCTGACTGCAAATATGGGTGTTATTGTTGAGATCTATTGTTCAAAGATTGTGTCCCACCACAATTTCACACACAGTGCAAGGGAACTGCTCAATCTGTTCACGTATAGTTGAAGAATCTTGTAGATGGATAGAGCTTCAAAAATGTAAAAAAATTTGGGGGTCCCAGACCCCCCATAATTTTCTTTGGAACTTAGTATGACAGTGGAAATCAATCAGAAAGAGCTCTATTATAATTATTACACATCAGGTAAATTTTTAACATTGAAGTTCAAATTTCAGGTAAAATCCTCTGGCTCTAAACCTCCCCCCAACTTCAGATACTTTGCAAGTCCCTGAAGATCAGTGCAATCATCATACAACACTAAACCTTGCAGTTGTGAGGGTTATAGGTATATGAAAAAGAAAACCAACAGCCATTGTGCTGAGATCATATCTACACGTTTCAACATTTCTTTCCAGCATTTTAATAACAGCAGTGTCAATGGAATGAGTAGCATGTTCATACTTTTAAAGCTATGTCATTTTGTTTAAATTTATACCTGCATCATTTACAAAATATCAGTCTTCTGATCTGCCTTTTTAAACAATTTGCAGATAAAAGCACAGTTCAAAATCATGGTGACTGATAATAGGTGACTGGTCACTGGTGATAATATTGGATAAAATAGGAAGATCAGAATGTGCAACTAGCAGGGCAGTACAAGTATCAGACAAACGTTTTAGTGGTGATGACATGATAGATTGGTCGGATGAGTTCATTATAAAATAAAATTCCGATGCTGTTAGATCTTACAATAAAAAAAATGTTTAAAACTCTATCTAGTATTAAATATTATATTGTTGAAGAACTTTGAATTTAAAGGTTTTATGAAATCTGCGATGCCAACAATTCAAGAAAAGCTAATAACTTTTAAACCAGATACCAGAATATACTTGTAACAAGAAACCCATGCAATGTAATATTAATGGATTATACAATATATATGGCCTTATATTTTTGTAGAATGAAGTTTTGAAAAGCAATAAATTGACATCATTAGTTGCTGTATATGCCTATTATTAAAACAAAACATTTAATAATGAAAGTGTGACTCAATAATATTGTTGGCTGCACCATTGCTATCAACCATTGCTTTTAAATCGAGTGATTGTTATAGCCATTAAATGAATGTTTGTTATGAATGTGAACTCCTGCTGTATTAAAGAAGCTGAATAGGCTAGCCACATGTACGCAGTGCGTACCTATTTTTGAATTAAGACATTGTCCAGGAATTATTCGCTCTATACGGCAATGCGAACGAAATCTGACGCTTGCGCCCAAAAACCTCTCCATGTTCCAGTATCATCTGAAATAAAGCAATATTCCTCATGAATTTTTAATCAGTGGTATGAGACTGAATTCTCACCTTCACCCAATGGGGTACTTTCGCCTCCGTCATATGGTGAAATCGCAGCACAAGAACATTAAGAAAAAACATTATAGTCATTTCAACCATTGTTACGGCATAAAATTCACCAATTATTGAATTTTCTGATGACGCTGGCATTGTCTCTGATACAAGCAGAAAGAAGAAGGACAAAGCGACCAAAATTGCCATTCCTAAAGAAGAGAAAATATTTAAAATATCTCTCTACACTTTCTATGTATTTTTAAAATAAATTTAGAGGACACGTTTTGACCTCAATTCTTAGCCGCGGCGTTTATTAATTTTTTGGCGCTTAAGGTGCGGCGTATATTTGAGGGCGGCGTTTATTCGAGGGAGGCGTTTATTCGAGTAATTACGGTACTGAGCCGAAGAATCCATATATAGAGTATATAAAAAATTGATATCGTTGTAAAAATTTGTAACTGGCACTGCATGAATACAGATATTGTCACTGACTTACGTGCTAATCTGAAAATAACCCTATTTGGGTAATTAGTGCTTTTTCTAGCTTGACTTTGTTCTATTTATATTCTTAGTTTAAAAACTCATTAATAATTCACGAGGAAAATACAAAAGAAATGAATGTTTAATCAATGTTTGTAAATCGGGTAAAGATTTGTCCTGATTTACATAAACTTCATGCAGCTTTGATTTTCTCGGGTTAGACAATGTTAATTTTTAAAATTACTTTCGCCAATGTACTCATAAGATGGGTCGTTTTTTAAGTACTAGGTAAAACATGAGCAGCCGATCTTTATTTGATATATAAACTCTCGCCTTCGGCTCGAGTTTATATATCAGATAAAGATCGGCTGCTCATGTTTTATCTAGTGCTCAATTACCAGGCTATATATCCTGCATGCAGCCTGACTTTTCGAGAGGGAAAAGCCAGGCTTCCCGGTGGGGGGAGCCGGGAGGTGGAGGTGAGGGGGGCGTTAGCAAAAAACTATTTAAGAAAACTTTAATTCTCGCTATGCTATAGGTGTATATATACAACAAGGCATGATGGGGACCTTTTACTTACATTTTTTCTTCATTTTTAAAACAGGAAAGTTGTAATATATGGAGAGAAATATAGATTTTACCAATCAGTGCATTCGAGACGCTCATTTCCATATATACTTTGGTTTTCTAGGTTTACTAGGAACAGTTTCGAAGCTTTCTCCGAAAACTTTTCTTCTACAGGGTGTATCAAAATAAACGCAATTCATCTTTTGTGCTTAATAACTTTCGAAATACTATTTCTAGTTAAACTCTTTTAGGCTTATTTCAAAGCCTGTTCTTTTCTCTTTCAAACAAACTATTATCCTTGTCTCCAATGCTAGTAATAATTGCACAGGAAAAGATTTAGTAAAACCTATCATTTTTAGTTGCTGTTTAATTATGCAAGTTTATTAATTTATTGTTTAGTCGGTTTAAATGTTAGAATTTTCTTCTTTAAACTTTAATGTTGTCGTCACTACATCTGGAAAACCACGTAAGAACAAATTAAAAGTATTTTAAAAGACACCAGGTTGTTTGAAAATCCTAAACGAATACTAAAAATCGTCAAAACATTCTGGTATCTGAGCCAGAGTGTCATCGAATTGCGATGTAATGAAAACAGAAATTATAGCAAGTTGATGTCAGTAAGCTTAGATGGTCCAAGCCAAAATTATATCGCATTTGAAGTTTCAAACTGAGTTAAAAATAGTGGAAGAAAAGCCGTAATTATACTTATTGTTACAATCCATTTAATAAAATGCAACATTTTTTTGTTTTAATGAAAAAATCAGTTATTTTCATGAGAACGATTTGTTATTCCATCTCAATTTTTTTAATCTCCAATCGCAATAACGTAAAGTATTATTACCCGCGAACCAATGAGTCAAATTTAAGAAACAACCCACTGTTAGAAAGCTGAATGGCTACGCTTTAAAATGAATGTAAACTTTAATGTTTTCGTCTATTATTTGTTTAGCAATTTACATTTCAGTCGAGGATTGCGCTTTTTTTGATACACCCTGTATAGAACTTTACAAAACATTGGAAACTGAATTCCTATAGCCATTTTTCATATATTTTTATAGACTGATTTCACAATATTTGGAAGCGTTTTAACCTACCTATATGAATGCATATAAATATAGTAAAAATTTAAAGTTTGTTCGTTCACTGCAACCAGGTATATCAATCATGTTTCGCTCGCTACTCTGGTTTAAATAAATGATTACAAACCATTGCATCCTTAGATCACCCCTGATGAAGACACTAGACTGGAGTGTCGAAACTTTGGGTCTTGTGATCATTGATTTAAACCAGAGTAGCGAGCAAAACATTATAGTAAAAATGTTTCAACATTGCAATATTTGCCTGGTCTGGAAGAAGGCTTCTTACCCACGGTTATCCGTTCACTGCAGTCTTGAGGAAGGAGAAATATGATTCCCGACAACAGAGCTATTAATGTTCCAGGAACAATCAAATACATCGCATAGTACAGCACACGACGCCGTAAAATGATTTCAAATGTAATATCATAATACCCGTTGCTTTCATTCTCATATAATACTAAATGCTGTTTGAAGGTCGTTCCAGTTATTTCCCATTGACCATTGGGGATGTGGCGACTGAGGTCAAATTTATTTGACTAAAACAATACAAAATTATATAATGTTGACAACTTAGTCAGTTCAAACGGAAAAGTTATCAAATCGTAAATCTTACTTTTGGTTCAACCATTTAAACATTTAATAAATAGATATATACATGAAAATATTTCAATTCTGATTGGATATGAGAGCATTTAAACTTTATTTGCTATGACAGTACCAAAAATTTTAATTCAGTGCATGACAAACAATGGTCATTGGCTACTGACATTATTTGCATGTGAACACGTAATATTTTTTTCAAACGAGCAAGTAACTGAATCATCAGTCTTTATGAACCTGACTATGAACTTCTTCTGAAAATTTTTCCATGTATATATTATTACTAACAAATAGTTAACAATTATTTGCCGAAGGCGAGGTGATTATCGGTGAATAAAAACCGAGACGAAGTCGAGGTCTTTATTCATGATAATCACCTAGCTATAGCCTGAGGTGAATAATTGTTTTAGTATAATTTCATAGGTGAGTATTTGTATAGAAAAAATTAAAAAATACACATTTCTTCGTCATTTCATTGACAAAACGGCTTCGGCCGCCATTTCGAAAATCGCTTAGGTGATTATCGCGTTATAATCACCTCAACGGCAACCAATCAGCGTGGGGAATTTTCAATAATCACTTGTGTAATTATACTAATATGGTCATGCAGATTGGGGAACATAGGCACATGCACTTGTCATTTTTTAAAGACTTTACCGACACTGGATTCTGATTGGATAATTGTCGGTCGCGCATGCCCAGCTTGGCCGTTCAGGATTTTTTGGTCATGCCATGCATTGTCTTTTGAAAGCTCACTCGCCCATATTTTTTCAAACCATACTATTACACTATGCTTAAACTGAAAATCATTCTCAATAACACTACTTTGGTTAACTAAGCAAATAGAGATATTTTCGTGAAACCGAAACCATTTTAATAAACGAAAGATCTGATCTGTAAACATTTTATCATCTTTAATAATCTCAGTCTCAGCTCTGTGTCAACTTAATTCGTGCTGAAAAATAAGTCATTGAATTTAGAGTCCTCAGGGTTATGTCTTCGTAATTAATGGCGCGCGAGCTATTTAAAACAAATAAGTAAATACAGGTATGCCTAACTAAATATAACAAGAAAATGAAAAAATCCTGTCATCTTGATTAATAAGCTACGTACAAATCGTACGTGCAATTGTCATTTCACCGTATAAAGATCGAGTCTTATATCTTTGCATTGATCGATTGAATGCTTAAACATTGATTGAATGATTAAACATTGATTCAAACACTCATTAATAATTCATAAGCTTATTGGCAAATCATGTCAACCATAATATGTCACGTGCAGTGGCTTTAAACCTGATAAAACACTCCTAATTAGTATTCTTTATATAAAGAATACTAATAAGGCAGTATCTATTGTAGTCGTGTCCTCATTAGTATTCTTTATATAAAGAATAGTAATAATAATTTAATAAAATACCTATTTGTAACCTTTAGGTTAAATTACATCAGTAAAAAGTTTCATTATACTACAATATGAATATCTAAATGCATAAAATTATTCATAACTTCAGTTGAAAAAGTTATAGAGTTCAAATTTAAAAATATTAAAATTATGGTCTATTCATATGTGAAACCATCTGTGGAAAAACGATTTCATAAATCTGTCCATTTTACAACTATAGTTATTATAATCGCTTCCATAACGTGTATTATAGTTATGTTCAAGTTTAGGCGGTAAGAGGTCACCCAATTTGTCTCCTTGTGCATTTTTAACAAAAAAACGTTCGCATAATAATCGCCGCCGATCTTTCAGTAAGGGTATACCAGTAATACTGCAAGCTTCTCTGTAAGTAGCGAATGGCAAGACAATACGCAGAGCCCGCTTCTGGAGTTTTTCGATATCTTCACTTAGGTATTCTGTAATATTGAAGTGCCAAACTTGGCAGGCATATTCGAGTACTGGTCTGATAATGGTGCAGTATACCAAAATTAGAATGCTATTGTCGGCATTTGATCGTTTTAACAACCTTAGCATATAAAGGCATTTTCCCGCTTTTTTAACAATATGGTTCACATGCTCGTTCCATTTCAAATCATCTTGAATTGAAAGACCAAGAATTAGGGCAGATTTTACCCGCTCAATACCAACGTTATTTATAGTTAACTGTAAGAACTCATGTTTTTCTCTTGCAAAGTCAATTACCATTTCCTTACATTTACCGATGTTGAGCTTCATATTATTAATTACTTCACACCAATTATAGATAACATTCACTAGATCTTGTAGTTCACTACTCTCAGTTGATGTAACTCGTTCAGCAAACGTACTGTCATCAACATACTTCCATCTATCGCTCCAAGTAACAAGGCAATATATCTATTGAATTTGTAGTCGTGCTTGAAGCCGTTTAATAAACTCGCAGGTCGTGTTTTATTAGGTCTAAAGTCACTCGCGCTGCGCGCTCGTTGCTTTAAACCTAATAAAATACTCCTGCTCGTTTATTAAACAGTATTTGATTTGATGCTTTAAATAATATTAAATAATACTTAAAGAGTCATTGTCAACCGCAATGCATTGCGCGCCCAAACCTGCTTGGCGGCCATTTTAATGGCGGAATAATAGATGTTTCGGTTTTCAATCCATAATATATTACTACCATCCTGTGATTATACTTGCTAATTTTAACTTTTTTTAGTTTTTATACTAAAATTGCACCAAAGAAATGTTTATAATCTTCATTTGTTGCTATTTCTCACTTCCGAAGGTAAAGAAGTAAACAAATGCATTGTGGTTGACAATGACTCTTTAAGGCCCGGTCAAATCAAACGCATAGAAATATTAGACCTATTATTGTCTATTATTTGAAGTATTTGTATATTACTGATTATTTCTATGGTCAAACGTCACGAATTATTGCGGGGGCTCTAGATTAACAAAATAAATGTTTGAGGAGTGTTTCATTTAAGTACGAATTTAACTTAAACAAGACGCTCTACGGAGCGTTAACTCGCTGGGGCTATACAACTATACGCACATTACTGTACAATGTACATGATACATACAGTACACAGCTCTTTCAATTGAGATTTAAGGTTTTCCCCGAGCTAAGCGGAAAAGTCGAATACGAGCGCGAAAGGCTTAATAACACAGTACTAAAATGCGGTAGGCCTTACAAGTAAAGTTAGATTTAGTACGCTACATTCTTCTTCAAAACTGTCAGCCGCCAGTTGGTCTAGGATTAAACTGCGCTTTAAAACGTTCAAAATAAAATATTTGGGGGGCTTTTTGGCTCAAAATACTATCAAAATGAAGCGAGAAGTGAGACGAATCCACTGGTATACGGCCGAAAAAGAGAAAACCAATGATATCAAAGTTATCAAGGGTCAAACGTACTGCATTTTTTTACAATAATAAATTAGTTTAATAATTTTGAGCGATTGGCAACAATACAATTTCGCTTGGCTTTCAAAGTCAAAGGCCATAAATCGCTAGAACACTGTCACTAGTGCTTAGTAACACATTTGACATCCGTAAGTACAATTTCTTACGCTGAATCGAACTGTGGTATTTTTATCCTTATTGCGCCATTAGGCATTACAAATACAAGGACAAACCCGTGGACAAACGTAGTGCGAGTGATTTGTGATCAACAATATGTACTGCGAGCGATTTTTTCAACAATACAATTTCGCTTCATTTTCAAAGGCCATAAATCGCTAGAATACGGGTGTTTAGTAATACACTTGACATCCATAAATACAACTTCTTACGCTGAATCGAACGGTGTCTCTTTCTTCTCAAAATATAAACTGAGCAGCACAGTCAAACGCATAAACTTTTATAAACTTGCGATTTGCGAAGGTTGCTGTTTCCATGCGAAATTCCTTGTAAAATTGTTCAATTTTCCCGAATTTTCCTCAAAATGGAGGGCTATTTATGTATAATTTGGGTAATATTGGCAGGAGGTTTATGGATAATTGGGGGAAAATTAGGCAGCTCATTAATATTCCTCTATTTTGTGGCTATCAACGACGATTGGAGATTGCCGATCCACTAAATGGTGCCGAAACCTATACTCGCTGGGACACAGAGTGCCCCAGCGAGTAATAAAATACATTAGAGTGCAGGTAAGCATTGAGAACAGCTAACCGAGATCGTGTGACTGCCCGCTGACACTCATGCATTCACATCCAGGCTTTATCCTTTTATCTTGACATTGTAATTCTTCGAGTACAGTAAAATTATAATGGCTACGATAACGCGGAATTAAGACTTAAATTACAACTCAGATGTTGTATTCTTATATTTGACATAACTAAGAAACAATTAAACATTTACTCCTGTATTGTAAAAGGTCACTCACACTCACACTCAATGAATGAAGGCTGAGCTTCTCTTGAGTGTCAATGCTGTTTTTGAATAGCTGGATGGTGAGTAGTCACATAGTAAGGTACGACACTAACCATCCAGCTATTCAAAAACAGCAATGACACTCGAGAAAAGCTCAGATTGAACTTCCACTCATTGAGTGTGAGTGTAAGTGAGCTTTTAGAATACGGAGTTAGGCTGAATACTCACTACCATGACCCTGGGGACAAGCTTGGTGGTGGGTATGTAAATGTTTAATGGTTTCTTACTTATATCATATCATAAGAATAGAACTTGCGAGTTATAATTGAAGCCTTTTGTTAATATCTGAAAGCGAAATTAATGACCTGCGTTTAGTCGGTCGAGAGGTAACAATTTTACCTTGGCCTGGTTACCCTTGCAATTAACAAATCGTATTGGTTGCGTCATTTTAGCCTACTCAGCGGTTACGCGTTTTTTTTTTTCTGCATCCATGAAACATGAAATGAGTAGTTTCGGCAGATATTGGATTGATTTTGTCAGGGCTTTTTTGATGCCAAACGTACAACATTTATCCACCCGAATAATCATATTCAATTTGCCGATTGGCACCAAATAGAGAACCGGTTTAAGAGATGTTATTATTATTATTATTATTATTATTATAATGATCTTTAAACACGGCCGAATTACCTTTCACAGGTGATTTTCAAAGGGTCGCCTGCGGAAAATGATACA